CCCCTCCTCTCCTCTCCTCTCCTCTCCATCTTCTCTTCCCTTCTCCCCTTTGAGCTTTTTTACTATGATTTTCTGGAGCAGTAGGATTTAATTTGATTTTCACTAAATCTGTTATAGATTTTAGAATCAATGGATTTGTTTGACCTGTGGAGAATAATGTACCTTTAATTATATTTAAGTATACTACAAGTCACTATTTATAGACGTTTTTTCTCACATATCTTTGGGTGCAACGACAGTTTGGAATTATACCTTAAATGTGTTCTCATAAAACTTTGTTCATACCTAAGCTTCATAATCACAGCTTTTCACTAGCCAACCTGTTCAGACTAAACACACGTGAGTGAGGTCATGTCCATGGTCGTGGCAGGTCTATAAATTTATTTCAAAACTTTTTTTAAATCCATGAGTTTGAAATTCTGAGATGACATTAGTTAAGAGGATAAACTTTGAAGATATCCCTGAGTGCAAACTCTTGCCTTGCCTCTTTCTAACAATGTGAAAATGAAGGAGATAGAACCCCTTCTATCCTCAATAGTACACTTGCAAATCTAGAGTTATGAAATTAGCTATAACATTAAACTTGTGTTAGGAATTCTATAAGACAATGTGCATGAGTTTTCTGGTCCTTGGTTGCTGTCTATTAACTGTCAGGTATGCTTATTTCCATTAGAATATAGTTACTTAATATTATTGAATAGCCATTGTTAATCAGACTATTTAAACTGCTGTTGCCAATTTTTAATGATATAAGAGTTACTACTGGTGATGTGTAAAAGAAAAAATATCTGAAATAACAACATAATCCAACTTGTAATGCAGTTTCCTCTGTCCCTTGGGCTCCACTGCTTGCTCTCTACGTAAACAGCATGGAATGGTCCTCTCCTATTGCATGTATGTTTTGATACAACTTTGTAAATACTCCATCCAGAGAGAATGTCTGAAATGCTGGATTTCCCTAGCGAGTGTGTGTGCAGGGTGAGTCATCACCCTTTTGCTGGATGGTAGTGTTGTCATTGTTATGAAATACTCAAGCTCATGGGGCCATATTCATTATACATTCGTATTTTTCTTGGAAAGTTCAACTTAAGATTTTTTTTTTTTTAGCTGAATATTAGAAGTCTGCCAATGTCATTCCGTCTGTGGCCACTATTATAAAAATAGATGTTTCAGCCAAAATAACTCTGTGGCTTTAATGTGTACTGTGTTTTCATAATAATGAAAATACTACAAGGGGATTTTTCTTTTGTCCAGATATATCAACAGCTTAAAGATAATCTGCCTGCCTTAGAAAACTTTTATGTCACTAAAACTTAAAAATATTATAAAACTTTAGAAATCTGGTTAAGGATGCTTAGCAAATCATCATATGATTATCATAGCACATTTATTTGTTAAAAGATTATTAGTTTTTATGCTCAATAAATTTGTTCTTAAACTTAAGAAAATGTGTTCTTGGTGGTGGTGTTGATATTGGTAGTGTTCCAGACTAAATGAATTTATGCAGGTGTTACTACTGCCAATTGAAAAATTCACTCAGTGTTATCATTACCACTTTGGGCAAAAGGAGACCAGAACATGGGTGTTCAGTCTTGCCAGGTAATAGACTGTTTGCTCCAGAGTTAAAGAGCACAGCATAACGTGCATGCTCTATGCTAAATTAATTTTTATCGTATGAGTGAGCTGGAATTCCCTTTATATTGCCTATGTCTCTGCTGATTGTGATATTTTAAAAAATCTCACTTGTGTTAACATTTCTCCTAACAGGAGGCTGTATTCAAACTAGATGCACATAATTTGGAGTCTGGCAGATTGAAATGTCCCTTTGATCCTCAGCAGCCTTTTGCTTCAGTGATGACAGGTAAGATCATGATAAGCAGCTCTTACTTTCAAATGATTTTCTGAAGGGGTATGTGTTGACTAAACCACAATTTCCTATTGAGCCAAAGATACTTATGGACCCGTCTTCCACTGGCTAGTTGGTTCCAGTATTTTAGTGTCCAATTCCTCTATCCTGAACCTCCCTATCAATCAAGGGAGGCCACAGTAATCCGTAATGTTTGCCCTTTTTATAGGAACCATTTAATGAATTCTTTATAATGCAAAGGACACACAATCATTTATTCTATAATTTTATGTATATATATCTGGGATTTTCTCATACTGAACCATATCCTTCTTTGGCTCAGCAAAGAAGTTAAATTTAGCAATTCCATAGGAGGGTCAATTAATGAACTAAATTAATCAAGCTATAGCATACACGTAATAGAATTCTATAACAACTTCTCCCCTCCCCAATTTTATTATAACCTATTATATTAAAGGAAATGGGAAATGAGAACCTTTTCTAGCTCGGTCCGTGTTCTTCCCGCCAGTACACATTTTACATTCTCTTATGTGATGACAATCTTGTTCCAAGAAGGCGGTGCTGTTTGGTCTGCAGTTTGTTTGGAGGAAGGTTGGCAAGACTTCTGAATTTCAGGCATTATAAAGAATCCTTTAGTGTCGATTTGGTTCATGACTTTAGTTTCTTTTTCTTTAACTTGTCTATCAAGTGTTTGAATAGAGGATAAGAGTGAAACACCATGACATTTTAATTTTCACCTAGTGAGAACCAGTGATTTTTTCTTTGAAGTGAAAGCATATGTGTGCGTTTTGAAAATTATATGACTAATGGTCAGTCGTTATTCTCAGAAAATGAGATAGATGCTCTGTGATTCTGATCTTCCAAGTGGGGTTCACACACCCTTCATACAAACAATAGGTTGTAGACATTGGTCACCGCTTTCAGGAATCTGTAAGTAATTTTATGTACAAAGAAGACAGATTTAAAGCCTGCATATTGAGATCTAATTTCTAAGTTGAAATATCCCATCTTTTTTTCCTGACAAAACATTCGAATACCTGCGTTTTTATATATTTTAGAGTAATAGTTTGCTTCCTTTACTCTTACCAATTTTATAATGCGTTTGTTGTTATGTTTTAATCTTGCTCCACAATGAAACACTGGCCATTTTAGGGATGTGCTTTAAGAGGCTGCAAGCAGTGTACCTGTCTACATCTATTGTACATAGCTGCACTTCTCTCTTTTGTGGATTTTTTCATTAGAAATACCTATTGTCGTTATTAAGGTTGAATTGTCCCAAAGAGTTCAGTGAAACATATATTTAGATGGGCATAATCAGGGATGCCTTCTTATACAAGGCAGAATTTTAAAGGCATATTTCAGAGGAAAATTCAAGTTCAGGGTAAAATAATGTGTTTGTTCTTATATTTAGGCATTAAAAAAATCTAAATATTCTATAGTGAATAAACATGTTTTAAAATGTTTTATTAAATGCAATGCAAAATTGTTGTCTAAAACTCTGTCTTAAAATACTGGCGTTTCAGTTGTACAGGGACAGCATCTTCCTCTGTGGGGATGTCCTGCCTGGCTGCCCCCCAGGGCCCCAGCTGACATTGGGGAGCGCTAATCCCTGCTTCCCTCTTTTCCTCTCCCATGGTCGCTCTTCCCTTCTTTCTCACCTCCTCCTTCTACAGCCCCCATATTTTCTTCTTTTTTACCTTCATTAACTTTTCTCCATCCTTGTATGATTCTTCCTCTTCTCACCATCTGATCTTTTTCTTCTCTCTTCTCCTCCTGCCCTGTTCTTTCTTCTCTCCTTTTAATCATCCTCATTGCCCTCCTCACGTCTCTCCCTCCCACATTCCTTTCTCTCTAATAAAACACGAGCATGCACTTTACACAAACACAAACAGTAAGACAAAGAAGCTTGGTATGCAGTAATGGTAACATTATTCCCTTTTCGAGAATTTCTGTTTATCGGAACTGTTAGAGACACGATTAGCTACAAGGAATGCAGCATGTCATAATTACAAAGCATGACTTCAGCGCTGAAAGCTCCCTTTCTGCAGAGGTTAGGCGAAGAAAAGTTGTGGTCATTGAGGTTGTGTTGGGTTAAGTAAATACTAATTACATAATTCATCCTTCATTATGGCATTTAACTTTTAATGCTTTTTGTCTTGCTACAGAGAGGAACTCCTAATTGTGATATTTCTTTGAATGCTGTCTAGGGAGGAGGGAAAGAGAAACAGCATAGTCAAAAGACAGCTAAAGCAGGCACATGTCTTAATTTGGAAGAATCTGGCCTCTTTTATATTCAAGTATCCCGCCTCAGCTTACCAAATTAACCAAATGTTAATCGAGTTATCTTTCCTTCAACTAAGCTAATTTTTCAAAATCTGAAAGTAAAATTTATGAAGCAACAAATTCTGATAGTAAGCCATAACCATCTTCAGGGTTATCCTGTGAAGTTTGTATATTTGAAAAGGATCTATTGCAATATTCTTAGAAGTCCTACATTTTTTTTTCCTTCCTCTCAGATGAGTACCTCTACTCTGGAACAGCTTCTGATTTCCTTGGCAAAGATACCGCGTTCACACGGTCTCTGGGGCCTACTCAGGACCACCATTACATCAGAACGGACATTTCAGAACACTATTGGCTCAATGGTTAGTCATTTTTTTTCTGTTTTGATTATTTTGCTTTTGGTTTTGGATAGATAAGAAGCTTATCACTATTCATTCAAATTTGTTTGATTCACCTCGAAATGAAAAAGCATTTGAAAAAATTTCATACTAAGTTAGATTAATTTCCAAAACCTTTTTTGGGGGATAGTAAATCAAATATTTATTATATGCTGTGTCCTTGACATTATTCTGTGTTTGAATTTGAATTTATAATTTTAATATTTAAAGTGACATAGGATATGTATTACTGTTTTATGCTTTTTAAAGATGAGCAAACTTGGCTCAGCGCCCATTAGCACAGTGGTTATGGCGCCAGCCACATACATCAGTGCTGGTGGGTTCAAATCCAGCCTCGGCCAACTAAAACAACAATGACAACTGCAATAAAAAATAACCGAGCATTGTGGTGGGTGCCTGTAGTCCCAGCTACTTGGGAGGTTGAGGCAAGAGAATCACTGAAGCCCACGAGTTTTAGGTTGCTGTGAGCTGTTATACCACAGCACTCTACCGAGGTCGACATAGTGAGACCCTGTCTAAAAATAAACAAATAAATAAAGATGAGCAAACTGAAGTAGAGAGGAATTAAGTAATTTGGTTAAGGTGTCATGTGCAGAACTTGGATTCAAGCTGGCAGTCTTACTCTTAGGGTCTGTGCTTTACAACTAAGCCATAAGCCACTGGGTGTTAGCCTAGTACGGTGGTTCTCAACCTTCCTAATACCTCCTAATGCCACCACCCTCTAATACAGTTCCTCATGTTGCAGTGACCCCCAACCATAAAATTATTTTTGTTGCTCCTTCATATCTATAACTTTGCTACTATTGTGAATATCTGATACATTACATCTGTAATGTAAATATCTGATATGCAGGATGTATTTTTATTGTTACAAAGGGGTCAAGATTTATAGGTTGAGAACTGCTGGCCTAATGAAAAGAGGTTAATTGTAGTGCTAACTTCTGTTGTTTAAAGGTAATGACCCTTAAAAATTTTAAGTGTATTGCGTTTGATTGATACTACTTTGTCTGATAACTATTATATTTAGAGGGTCATATAGTATTTTGGTTTTAAAAAGAAAACAAGCAAAAAAATCTCCAAGAAACTTCTAAATGAATTTATTTATTTGCTTCAAGGAACACTATGAGATACCACACACACCCTGACTTACAACAGATTAGATTTAATCATGATTTCTTTATGTTTTCTAGTTAACGTATGACTTCATTCCATTGTACGGCAGAATAACAGCACTATTATTTAAGCAGACACCTTTTCTTATTCCCACCAGAAATATTGGGCTTTAGTGAAGGAAGGCCAGGTAGAGATTTCTATCTCTCTGTCTCAGTGTCCTTTAAGCAGTAACAACATAAACAAAAGGGAAAACACTTTTAAAACATTTCTTTAGTCAAAACTTCCAGATATGTCTGTTTACACAACAATGTGATCTCCACTGACCAAAATAGTGCCCTTAACAGGTACCCTACCTAGAAAAAACAAATATATAATATCCCCAACTACAGGGATTTTGCCTTGCCACATGCCAGGCAAAACTGTATTTCTGTGCATAGTGAGATTTTTGTGGAGTTATTTGCTTTGAAATTACCTTAATAGATTTCCCTTATAGAAAAGCTTAGATATCTGTTTAGGTAATAAAAGATATTCTTATGGCTTATAAATAAAGTATGAGGTTGTGTCTTTTAGTTTTGGAATGGCAAATAACATCCCATTACTACTCTCTTAAAAGGTCATCCTATTTTTTTTTTCCTTAGCTGTGACATTCCCCCCCAAAAGTTTGCAGCATTGTTAATATAATAAATGTAAGAAACATGTATTCAAATATGTATTTTCCTAGGATGATCCTGCTGTATTAAGAGATTTACAAAGTAGGAAGCCTGTGAATTGGTTTATCGTTCCCCTTCATAAACAACTTTTAATGTCCTATTACCTGCTGGATGCTAATCCGCCAGGGGGGCCTGTGCAGACAGATGGGGGAGGGTGCTGACTGCGTGGGTGATAAAGGCTTGGCTTAGCCTGGAATACAAAGAAAGAGTAGGAGATTAAGCTACAAAGCTGTAAATATTATCCTGAAAGCAATGGAGAGCCACTGATGGTTATTCTTTTATTATTATTATTATTACTTAGGGAGTCAGACCTTTGTTTTTTTTAAGGTCGCTTAAAATATGCATAGTATGTTTTTTAATAGCATGAGAGGAATAGCATGAAGGGAAAACTAAGGAAAATGAAAACAAAGAGAGAAGAGCCCACTGCATGAAAACTGGGGACTAAGGCCTTAATGAAGGTAACGACAATGGGATGGACAATACACGGTGCAGAATATTTGAGAGAGAAGATATAGTTTGTGAATTAAAAAATCCAAAGATACAAGGCAGAATTCAGGAGATTTGGATGCCTGGAAAATGTTGCCATTAAAGAAGTAGCCAGTAGAAAGGAAAGAATTGAAGGCAGAAGAAAAATTACATGTTAGAAGAAATTCTAATGAACTGAATTCAGTCCAATGGTTAAGACTTAGGAGAATTCACGCTTATGGTTCCAGGTCATTCAAGGCAGATTACTTAGGGGTTAAAAGCCAGGGTGACAACATGATCTGCTTTGCCAAGGACATTTCCAGGTGACCAGGACTTCAGTAGCCTTTTTACTCTCAAAATTAGTTTAGGCAAAAATCATACCTCTATTTCAGTGAAACTTAAGTATCTGTGCTTAAATGTTAACTGACTCTTACTGGTGACGTTGGTCAAACCTTTCTGTGCTTTCAAATTATTTTTATATAAATGTGAAATCAATTAGCAGTAGTATCTATTCATAGTGTGGAATCAGGAGTAAATTACACCATACAGAGAAGTCTTTTAAAAGACTATGTCAAGAGCTGAATTAGTGTCAATTTCATCATCATCATTATTCCCGAAGGTAAGAGAGGTAGGAGGTAGGACTAAAACCTCATATGTTCTGGGATTCTGTGCCATTTACTTATTTATTTATTTAGAATCTTACTTTATCACCTTCAGTAGAGTGCTGTGACATCATAGCTCACAGCAACCTTAAGCTCCTGGGCTCAAGAAATCCCTTTGCCTCAGTCAGCCTCCCGAGTAGCTAGGACTGCAGGCTACCGCCACAAAGCCCAGCTATTTTTTTAGAGATGGGGTATCTCAGGCTCAGGCTGGGGTGCCATGTCTTTTGCACTCTAAATTATTGACCAACTTGTCCTTTTTTCCTGCTGTACTTTATAATTCTATGAGATTATTCATCTTTGTAGTTTCTACCGCTTCCTACAACTATATTTCCAACCTTGTTCTATATATAAGTGAGTGGCCTTATGAAATATTTATTTGGATGCCTTACATTTTCATCTCAGATTAAAAGAAAAAATGATTATTTTAGATGGGGATAAAGATATCCACGCCTTAGTTTGGTTGTGCCGTTAACTTGCTTTGAGATTTTTACAAGTTCTTTAATGACCTTTGACTTCTCCTGAGTTGTTTTCTAACTTGTCCTTCAGTACCCACTTCCTGATTTTATCTGATCTTCATATACCAGTTACCTTGGAGTTATCTGTGACTCCTTCCTCTCCTACATCCTCTTTATCTAATCTATTCATGAGGGTGTTTGCTTCCTTCAAAATATGTGTCGACCTTATTACTGATAGAGTCAAATGTAGGAACTCCACAGAATAGGGTGGACTAAAAGGATCAACCCCTACCCTTTCCCACTGGATGTCCCACCTGGGAAAGGTAAATGGGCCAGCCCTCACCCTTTAAACAGATGTCCAATTCAGGAAAAGGAATTTCCCGCCCCCCAACCTTTCACACCTTTAAAATCCCCATCCGCCATCACCCATGTGTGGATTTCTTTCCTGGTTGGAGATGTCAACCCACCTGTACCCAAGACGAATAAAGCCATTTTAACTGTACAAACCGGATTCCATTTTTTTCATCTCAGGCCTCAGAATAGTCTTTTATCTTTGGCTCCATAACCTCTAAATTACTACCATGTTCCAATAGGTCTCCATAACTTCATTTCTAGGGGTTTTTTTTGGCCACTATTTTATCGTTCACTGGACTGATCTCTCTATCTCTCAGATCTTCTCATTCTACCACTACTACTCTACCTGTAGAGTGCTTAGGGAAGTAACTAGGTTGGATACTATGTAAAGTAAAATGAATCATTTTATTTATTAGTGTAATAGAAATCATATACTAGTTGAGAGTTAAACAGCTAGTGGAGGTGAGACTGAAACTCAGATACACATATTCAGCCCATTGTATTCTTATCATTGTATGACACAGTCCGTCAGTCCAGATTCTCCCCTTTAACTACACATGCTCTGCTGTTGCAGCTTTACTACATGATTCACGTGCACCTGCCCTACTGGGCAACAGCCAACCACAGTTGCTGGTCTGCTATTAGGAACTAGGAGAATTAGAAGAGGTAGAGTTAAGTAAAGCTGTGTGAGACCCTGGGCATTCTGGCTGAAGCCAGGAAAATAAGCAGCAGGTCAGATGTTTGCTGAGGAGGAGACAGGCCAGAGAGAGAAGATCACAATGTTTCAGGAGACCCAGTAGGTCAAGACTTCCTTGAGCCATGGGAACTAGGTCAGACCAAGGGGAGAAATTATAGAAACTATTTGAGTGAGACAAAATATTGGTTTGCTCAGGAAACATTTCTCCCTTTATTAGAAACGACCATTTTCCACATGTATTCAGCCTGTAGTCTAAAGTTCATGGGGGCATAAATTTAAAATTTGTTTCCTCTGTCATATTCGTGGGCTATATTGGACAACATAGATTTAAAGATTTCCATCAATGAAGCAATTTCTATTGGAGAAGGCTGATTTAGTATATACTTGTTTACCAATTATGTACAATAGCTTACAACGGTATTAATATAATGCAATACACTTGTGAATTTTCTTTACTATCTAGATAGTGTGTGGATGTGTTTTATAAGGTTGTTACCCAGTTGAAAAA